AAAACGCTAGAAAAACGGCCCGGGGGTGTTCTTCAATCCATGCCTGTGTTCAACTGGCGCGCTAGGTGAAAATAGAAGGCAAAAATCATACGTGACCAACTCAGGATGATTCTAAAACACACGACCATGCCATAATACTAACCTCCGGAGAGGCAGTTTACAAATAATACTAAAGTAATCACTCCCGGGGATTAAGACACCGATCAAAGGCACATCTCACTTCTCACCTTGCCGGCGTTAAGACGGGCGGAGGCACTCGGAGAATCTTAACTCGTACATCTCAGGCAGCGCCCCAGGATTAAGGCAGGAAATAGGGTCTTATTTCTGGAGATTGCGGATGAACGCAGGGAGAGGCTTCAAATGGGTTCGTCAACTCTATATCAGGAAGGAACACTTTGAGATACGTGCAGGCGTGAACTTGTATTTTGTGCTCAGGTTAACCGTAATTGTTAATGAATGAAAGACCTTTATTGAACATTTGTGCTTTTAACAAGCTAAGTACAGGTCATGAATAGACAAGGAGAAAGATACAGCAATTGCACTTAAACTATACATACTAATGCGATCTACTATTTACATGTTCAACTTCTTCTCGCTTCTTGACGCAGTTAAATATGTACGAGCATATAGAACTAATAATAAATGATTTGTAATTAGAATGGGCGTCAATCCGTGTTGGTAGGATAAATTTTGAAGCGAAGATGAACTGTAATTTTCAACACACAAAAAAGATGGACATGATTTTCGAGTATCCACCTCCAGTTTTGTCAAGGTATGAGCAATCCATCGGTTCTGTGATGTCACGTTATGCAGAGAAATTTCTACAACTTATTGGTGTCCCTTATGCTGTCAGTAGAGATCAAACCTGCAAAAATTGCAGATATACATAGCCATATTGCTATCAACTTTAATTACCTGACAATTCCAAACTACATCTTTACTCTTTACTCTACAGAGGTTTTCCTTAATACATCATGATGACAAAGTTAAAATTTCACTACAACACAAACATATATTTAAGACACCAAGGGCTTTTAGCTCTGTTTGAATGATGTATATGCACAGATTTTGTAAAAAGAAATGACCCCCCCCCCCAAAAAAAAACCCACAAATAAAACAATTTTAAAAGCATGTATAAAAAAACGTCTGGGATTATTTGCTCACTCGACCTTCATGCCAAATTTCATGTTATTTGCCCAAAAAGTGGCTGAGTTGAATCCCGTCCAAAAAATGGCAGGAGAAGAAGGAGAAACATGATGGAACACAATATGTCTTTATCACACCACTTCATGGTGTGGTGAAGCCATAAT